GCATCCAAACGGCATCATCAGGAAAGGAACCAGCCGGGTGCTGCTCGCTCAGCGCCCTCGCTGGAGCCCTCGTTGCGTCCCTGGCTCTCCTGGCCTGAACCCTGCGGATAACAGGGATTTCTCCCCCGCATCCCACGGTGTTCCCGCATCCCAACAAGGCGCCCTCCGAGGCCGCCTGCAACCCTGGCCTGGGGGGCGGACGGCGGGTTCATTTTGATGCCCCTTCCAACACGGTTCTGCAGGGAGGGAAAGTGCAGCTCCCGCTAATCCCCCTGCTAAATCCGCTGTGCGGCGGGTTCGGCTCGCGGGGATTTAGCCGGCGTTGCCGCTTAGTGCTGCAGGGATCTGCCCTGTCGCTTCTGGTTGTTGTTTTCCAAGCGAAAACCTGGGGGGGGTCCCAGAGGAGTCGGAGGAGGTGCTGGGTTTTGGGTGCTGTGGAGGATTCTTGCTGCTCCGTGTGGCTCAGAGAGCTAAAATGTTGTTCCCTAAATCCCAGGCCGGTTTTCCGTTTCAGCTCATCTCGAGGGGCTTTTCTTTTCCAAAGCTGGGGGGAAAAACAATCGCCTTCCTGCCCTTTCCGGACCCAAGCACATGCACAGCTTGCAGAGCTTGCAGGGCTTTATTTTTGCTTAGAAAGTGCTGATCTACCCGGGCTGAAGCCAACGTGCCGCTCTGCCCGCGCAGCTGTGCGTGGGCCTGCGTTTTCCTGGCTGTTCCTCCCTGCTCTCCTATCCAGGCCTTGCCCCTTATGGCAGCACAACCCTCCCCCTTCCCGGGTTGTTTAACATCCTGCAAATATCCCTGAGCCATCCCGGGCAGGAAAACCCCGGCCGAGAGCCCGACCCCGTTTGCACCGAGCTCTGAGGCCGGTCGTGTCCCCTCTCCTGCCCGGAACGCGCTCCCCGGCAGCGATCCTCGGCCTTATCCCTATTAAAGGGTCACTCGGGGAAAGTGTGATGGAAACGAGAAATTATCCAGGTCTGCCAGCGGTATTTAACTTCCAAGCGGCTCTTAATTAGGAGCCAGGAGCTGTTTATACAACGGCTGAGATTTGCATAAGAATCTACATGTAAACCCGAGCACCTGGGAGGGTTTGGGATGCTGGAGCGGGAAAGCGGCTGCTCTCAGGTTCTCCCTCCCAATGCTTTAATTTCTCACCCGTGGAGTGGACATCAGTGTGGTGATTTACAGGGTGATTTACAGGGTGGTTTACAGGGATTGTGCCTGGGGAGCCGTCCAAGCTGCAGGTGAAAAACCCACATCCCTGCTGAAGAAAAATTATGCTCAGAACTGAAATAGGCCCCGGTTGCTCCATCCTTGCCCTCCTGGCTGCTATGGGGGCAGGTTGGCCCTTGGCTTTGGGTTTTGGCCCCTCGTTGCCCCTGCAGCGGGTCAGGAGCTTGGGGGGCTCCAGGCTGAGCTTTGGCTTTGCCCCCTGCGCTGAGCCTTGTCCTGCCCTGTCTCTGCAGCTGGACAAGGGGGACGTGACGGCCCTGAGCCTCCCTGCCAACGCCGGCCACGGCGACGCTGACGGCAGCATCTGCCTGGACGTCCCCGAGGGCACCCCGGACCCGCAGCGGACCAAGGCCGCCATCGAGCACCTGCACCAGAAGATCCTCAAGATCACGGAGCAGATCAAGATCGAGCAGGAGGCGCGGGACGACAACGTGGCCGAGTACCTGAAGCTGGCCAACAACGCGGACAAGCAGCAGGCCTCCCGCATCAAGCAGGTCTTCGAGAAGAAGAACCAGAAGTCGGCGCAGACCATCGCGCAGCTGCACAAGAAGCTCGAGCACTACCACAAGAAGCTGAAGGAGATCGAGCAGAACGGGCCGTCCCGGCAGCCCAAGGATGTTTTCCGGGACATGCACCAAGGCCTCAAGGACGTGGGTGCCAACGTGCGCTCCAGCATCAGCAGCTTC